ATTACAAGCGCTACCCATTTGTTTGAATTGACCATCTATTTGAACCTTTTACCTCTCGTGAGCACTTGAATTTGTTATGAGCTTTGTAAAAGTTGAAGTGTGGGGTAATTGGTTTGGCTTTTGAGTAGAACTAATGAAATAAGGAAGAAGGTGCACTGTTTTGAAAAAGTAAGAGCCACTTGAATTGAATAAGAAAAGAAAAATAAAAAATAATAATAAGTGTATAATTGTAAAAAACTGTTCCTTGATAATGATGACTCTTGATATAATTGTGCTTAAAGAAGTGGGGAGTTAATGTATATTGATGTGAAGGTGGAGTTTTGGTTAGACATAAGTGTCGGGTGTTGAATGGTAAATTGTATGTATTAAAGTGCTTAGGGAGGTGTAATCACTCTTATATCTAAATGTATCCTACTCATTCCGTAGCCTACATTACAACCAATTAAAATTCTACTTGATCCTTGACTGAATGAGCTCAATTAGTAGAATAGTACATTACGGGCAAGCCTATGGTATGTCTTTTGTGGCATATGAATGTTGTTTCTGAGAGTGAGTGAATTCTTTTTATCTTGAGTTCCTGATTGTTCTTAAATTTTATTGTGTGTAGAACTACTCTCTATTGTTGTATGAGGGTACTTGATTCACGAAGGAAAGGTAATGTCGTTGACCTATGTGTTAGAGTAAGTGAGCAAGTTATAAAAATACATGGTGCTTTTGAGTCAAATTTTGAGGCTAGGATGTTACGGTGTTGTACTTAATCTGTTTTAAATATTCTTGGTGTGATGAGTTATGATAGTTGTTGAAAATAGGTCGCGTTCTATGTGAAGTATAGTTTGATTGCTCGAGGAAAAGCAATGGTTTAAGTGTGGGGTGTTGATCACAGGCTATAGTATCGTATTTTAGTGTAAGGACCCGACTGATCGCTTTGAGTAGTTACGCTTCTTTCAACTATTTGAAGTCTTGAATAGCTTCATATAATGTATTATGAACAGTGTGTATTATCGGATTTGGTTTTCAGGTGTTTCGGGATTAGTTCAGATGAAGAAATTTCATATTGGAAGCTTAAATGAAAAGGATTGGCCGAAGTTTGACTTTTGTGCAAACGAATCCGGAATGGAGTTTTGATGGTTCCAATAGTTCTGTATGGTGATTTTGGACTTATGAGTGTGTCCGGATATTTATTTGGAAGTCTGTAGTTAATTTTGGCTTGAAATGGCGAAAAGTTAGAAATGGAAAGTTTGGAAGTTTGACCGGGAGTTGACTTTATTGATATCGGGCTCGGAATCCAGTTTTGAAAATTCTGAAAGGTCTGTTATGTCATGTATGACTTGTGTGAAAGATTTGAGGTCAATCGTACTTGATTAGAATTTTTTAGTTTTATTAGGTTCAAATTGGGGTATGATTCGTGGTTTTAGCATTGTTTGATGTGATTTGAGATTTCGACTAAGTTCGTATGATGTTTTAGGACTTGTTGGTGTATTTAGTTGAGGTCCCGGGGGCCTCGGGCGAGTTTTGGATGGCTAACAGATCGAATTTTGGACTTAGGAAAAGAGTAGCCTATAACAAAGATTTGAAGAATTGATATCGGGTATCTCATTCAGGAGGAGCTTGATTTGGAGATCTTGTCTCCTTAGATATAGCTCTAAATAGGGAAACTGTTATCCATTGTAGGACACGAAACATTCTGTATACAAAAGCTATATTCTGCTCTCAAACTAGAAAATTACTTGCTTTCTTTTGTTCTTAAGATTGTTCATACTACTGCTTTCAGAGAAGCTCTTTATACTAGCAGGCTTGTATTTCTTTAAGTTATTTTTAGGTTCTTGATTTCATTCTTATTTATTTCATATTGTTGGATCAAATTAATTCACGTGTCTATAAATCACGTTACAAATTCAATTATACCGTTTTACAGGTAAACAATAACACCACCTCTGTTCAAATTATGTACAATGCTCTTATAAACATAATGAAAAAAATAATGCAACACATATTAGAGCCTATTGTTCAAAGAAATGGCCATGCATGACAAGCAGAGGCGGATCCAGGATTCGAAGGTTGCGGGTGCCACCATGTTATGCATACAATATACATGTCAATAGCTACAAAGACATATTAGGAATAATGGGTCGATTCAGTTAGTTTTTGGTTAATTTGAATAGGCCTTTCATTCACAAAGCAAATAAGTTAGATTTTAGTTCAAATTTTTAACGCTTAATTTAAACACATTCTAAATAAAAATTCAAAAGAAAAATAACATTTTGATTAAAGAGCACCTCCAATATAAATATTTGCTTAAAGAGTAGTTTAACTACACTATATATTCTTTGTTTGACTAGATTAATTTACTTGTATTATTCTTTATTTATTTTTTCATCTTAATTGTTGAGTTATACGACAAATATTTTCAAAGAAAAACTTCAACATTGAACCTATGATATTCGACTCAAAACGACTATCAATCAAGCCATTTAATTATTTTTCAAAATTCAGTAGAAGATATTGCTCAAATTATATTTCAATATATAAATTAATATCGTTTCATTAAAAATAAAGAAATTATATGCTAATTAAAATCAATTCAAATTACCTATAGAAAATAATTATTCATAAAGTAAGGTATAATGATAGAAACAAAATGAGGATTGAAAGTGAAAAAGGAAGAAGAGAGACTTAGCAAGTAATAAAAGAAAGAAAAGGTGGGAAAGAACAAAAAAGAAGGAAATGAGGTGAGGCCGTAGGGCTCAACTGAAAATAAAGGAAATCTTAATAAGTAAAAAAAGGAAAAATCAAAACAGTTGTTCCAACAGGGAATCGAACTTGCATTCATGAGGCAAAGGAAAGTCTTCGAAGAGAAGGGTGAACCAATGGCACTTGCTTCCACTTTATGACTTTTGGGGTGCCACTCTATCCATATATACGTTGCTTCACAGAGATATTATGTACATAGTAGGGATTTTAGCGAAGGAACGGGTGGCGTGGCACCAACAAAAAAGAGTCCATAAATAAGCATCCCGTTGATTCAAATAAATCCGCGGAACAAATTTGGCTCTATTAAATGGGTTTTGCTTAATGATTTCCAATCATAGGAAAGAAAGAAAGATACACCCGGGAAAATGGGGAACTCTATTACAGAAGAGAAATAATTCAAACTGTGACAATTTTGCAGTGGCAGAGAAGGGACGTAAATTGTTACTAGTTCTTTTATCATCAATGCTAGCTGCTGCAAGAAACAACCAAGATAGCTGAAAAGAACTGCCGAAAGATGTCAATAGTAGTTAAGTTAGAAGTCTGAAATTAATATCGCTTCGAGATGCAGGAAAAAAAATAGATCGCACTCAGAGGCGGATCCAGGATTTGAAGCTTATGTGTTCCTACCGGAATTTCAAATTAATATGTAATAATATCTGGGTTCACAGTTAGATATTTATAAATATTTAGTAAATTTCTTAATATAAATACAGGTCTACACAAAAATTACTGGATTCTCGAAAACCTGTAGCCAATGCTCTAGGTCCGCCCCTAATCGCACTTCCCATTTCTACCCAAAACTAAAAAAAGAAAAATGACAAGAGGACAAATAAAAGAAGGGAAGGAATGAAACGTACTTGGAAAGCCAGATAATTATCCACAGTATGCATCAAATCATTCGAAAGGATCTTCCACCAAATGCTCAAGGTTACTCCAAAGCTGCCTTTGATTTTCTTTGATCTTATTTTGGAATTCCTGTGGTGACAACTTCAACCTCTTGAGAGCTGGCATATGTTGCAACTGAGAAGGAAGCATTTCTAATCTTGTGCATGATCTAATTTCCAAGCTTTCGAGATTAGGCATTGCTCCTTTTACAATTTTCAGGGTTTCAAGTTGTTCTAATAGCCAGAGTTGAAGAAACCGAAGCTCAGGAAAACCACCTGAAGAGCAATGCATGCTCTTACATGTCGAAGATTTAGAGTAAAACCTTAGAATGATCAGTTTGCGAAGGTTCTCTAATGCAGGCATCGGGTCATCCTGTAATTCTGAAGCAGACAATGTTAGGTCGATGAGATTTGTGGGAAATCCGGAAATAACTGATGGATACTTGAGCTTTCCGAGTAAATAGATGGTCGAAAGACTTGTTAGGCTTGACAATGGTTTCAGATAAAGAGTGGAAGGATTGCCATGCTCATCAAATGATTTCAATCTTAAAGATTCAAGTTGTTTCAGTTCCAAAATCCAGTCACCAACAGCCTCCAGTTGTGAATTCATGAGTTGTTGAGATGTCATGGCCCTACAAGACAAACCCAATTTTTTAACTTCTTTCAGGGTGTTAAGCCCCTCTAGCACTGGACTATCTTCATCTATGAAAGCACCCCACAATGTCTGCAGCTCACTAAGAGCGATTCGCTTTGGCACACTAGGGAATTTGCTTCTATAGGTTTCACTCATGTATAAATGTCGAAGATAATGCATTTTCCATATTGATTCTGGCAGAGCGCTTATGTAGGTGTGTTTCAAATCCAGCAGTTGGAGGTTTAACATTTTGCTTATGCTGCTCGGGAGTTCTTCTAGGTAAGTCCACCTTAGCCCTAGATATCTTAAGCAACTGAGTGCCGATAGTTCCCTTGGCAACTGGGGTCTGAATACTTTCTCCAGGTCAAGTACCCGCAGGGACCGAAAGCACCGATTTGAAATGCATTTACTGAGGAAGCATCCGATATTCTCTCCTGGTTTACTTCCTTCTTGTGTATCAAATGACAAGAAAGATAGGACATTTCCATATAGACGCCGGAATGAATTTGAAGAAATGGGATGATCATTGCCATGGATTTGACGATGAGTTACGTCATCTTCATGGAGATGATCAACGAGTCGACAAATCCTACCTGCAGAATCTTTGAAAAAATTTGCCTCCACAACTTTTTCTAGCCACTTTCGTGTGCCATCGCGGAGCTGACACACTTTTACTTTTCCATTGAGCTTTGTCTTTGTGGCTTGCACCACATTTTGGTCAATCAGTTCATTCAGATAGGTTTCAGCAATGTCCTCAGCTGATTTCTNCTTTCAGCAATGTCCTCAGCTGACTCCTCTTCACCCCTCTTTTGCTTCGCTATGCCTTCTGCTACCCACAGCGCGATTAGTCTCCTGGCAGGGATTTTAAAATCTTTTGGAAATAGTAGGAAGCAATATAGGCATTGCCTCAGATACCCAGGGACCTTTCCGTAAATCACATCTGCAGCTTCTAAATGAGGTGTTTTACGGTTTAGCCGTTCTAGTACCTTCTCCCACTTTGACATAGCTCTTTCTCTGCTGGAGTCTCTTACTCTGATAGGTGCTTGTAGTGGGAAGTTGCTAATTTCATCTATCTCCTCGTTCCTTGGATCGGCCGTATCATTCAGCTCTGAGTTGTGATAGAGGCTAAGAAGCTCCGAGGTGTTCTCAACTGCTTCATGTGCAGTGAAAAGTACAACACGGCTGCCACTGGAAGCGTTTGGAAAAGCTTGTCGAAGGTCACTCCAGATTCCACGAATGATCTGAATATCATGGAAGACAACGAGGTATCTTATGGGGTATAAAAGTTCTTTAAGTGCTTGAGCTATTACCTCATGCCTTGACCATTTGTCTTTGTGTAAAGCATCTTGCAGTTTGGGCACAGACCATGACATTCCTTCTTGATCTTCGACTATACTGCCCTGATCATTATTATGTTCCGCTGGCTGTAATTGCTCGATAACTTGATTTGCCATTTCTTTCAGGATAGCAATGACATTTAATTCTTGAGGCATCCTTATATACACGCGAACATCAAAATGACAGATGATGGTGTAATCGTCATTGAGTAGTTGTTGAAGTTTTGCCTTATCATTATCCTTTACACCTAAAATTGGAAAGATGCAGAGGTCTTGACAGTTCATAAGCAGCCTTGCCTTTATTTCCTCAACAAAGTAAGGAGGAGTTCCAGCTATATGTTCAATTCCGTAGTCGAGCCTTCTATTATGGAGCCTCTGAATCTTTTTCTTCAGTCGATTAACATGCGCTATCCACTTTAGATCTGACACATTAAATGCATCGATAAATGCAATGACCAGCTTATTCTCTTTGCAGTACAAATCAATCAAATTCTTGACTTCTAAAGCAATGCCGCTAATTTCTTCCACCCAAACTTGCACTTTGGCATCCACTCTATCCATCATCTGAATGGCTCAAAGTGATTATAAACTTCACAAAATTAGTTAAGTGGAGATAATTTGAAAATACAACAAAAGGTAGCTACATTACAACCCCTGTTTATCGGATAAGCAGCAGGAATGTTAGGACCAAAAACACAAAATTAAAGATTATTCTTGTTTCGAAAGTTTGCAAGAAGTAGAAAAAGTGCAATAATTTCTTAAAACCAATGTAATGTGAAACATAGTGCAAGAATTTCTTGAAACTACGTACAGGCAAATTTCTTCCTGTCATTTTCAAAGTTTAAAAGGTTTTATGTGACTTGGTAGAAATGTGAAAAGCTTGAAAGTATGATATCACCTTAACATCTTCCATTAAAGCTTGCATCAGATTCATCTCTCTTTTGATTGATTGAATTTTGCTCGAGAGAAAACCCGAAGGGTATGGTTCTCGCTCTTGGATGACAGCACCTGAGCCTTTTCTTCCTTTGATGGTTATGTCATATGTCATCTTCCATTCATGGACCTGGTCAATCCGATTCATGATCCATGAAAGCTTCTTTGCAAATCGGTATCTGTTCATGTCGAAAGAAAAGCAACGACCAAAGCGCATTACTTCAAAACTTTCTTCAGAAGTACTCTAATATAAACACAACATAAAGACTTGAAACTTCTGAACTCTAACAGAGTATTCAGGCTTCGGTCATCTCCCCAATCTAGATAATTAAAGAAACAAAAATGTATTAATCAATAGCAGAAAGGGACAGAGCTAGGGAGTTAAAATTTTGTAATCAGCTCAGTTGTTAAAATTGATTTGACTTTTCAAGCTTACCAGCTTAATCTTATATGACGTTAATTTCATTCACCTATCTAATTGTATTAAGGGTGTGTTTGGTACGAAGGAAAACGTTTTATGGAAAATATTTTTTAATTTTCTCATGTTTAGTTGACTTAAATATTTTAAAAAATATTTTCCTCGTAAACTTATTTTTCTTTAATCGGAAGAAAATACTTCTCTACCAAAAGGCTTGATTGTGTTAAAGAACTCACGGTCGTTATTTCACATAGTTGATTATATCATTATTCCATGCAATGTCTCTTTATTTTTCCTGTTATTTCCCCTGCCATTACTCTTGTTGTTCCCTTGTTATTTTCTTTGCTTATTAACTGCACATGTTTATACAATAGGTATCATGTCCTAGCCACGTCATTATCTCGTCGGGGTTAGACTCGACACTTACTAAGTACATTGGATCGGTTGTACTCATACTATACTTTTACACTTCTTGTGCAAATCCTGGTATTGGTCCCAGCGATATTCAGAGAAGCCAATAGCTTGGACAACTGAAGAGACTCAAGATAGTGTTGCATCTCCGTTCGCATATACTCTGGAGTCACCTTTATTCTGTTATTGTATCATTGTATCAAACAATATTGTATTTCTTTTCAGATGTTGTATTTAGTACTCTTAGACGCTCATGTACTCAGTAACACCAGTCCTGGGAGGTTGTAACTAACTAACAACCTCCCAGGACTTATTAGCCGGTAGCGTTGTCTTTGACTTATTATGTTATTTCTGAGTTTCCCCCTTATTTATGATATTATGCTGTTTAATATTAGTTCAGTATTTCTTGTCATTATTGAAATGTTGGCTTGCCAAGCAAACATTATCACGATTGCTTGATGGGATTTTGGATCGTAATAGTTTCACTTGTCGTTCCCATGATCCTTCTCCTCCTTGAACATAAAAAGACCTCCCTGATTCAAGGTCTTCAAAGCTCATTTCGTCCCACTTATAGAAAAGAGAGTATAAAGATTTTGTGGGTTTGCTGACAATATTCTTAGAATGGAGTAAATTAATAGAAGCAGTGTTGAAAGAGGAGAAGGAAAAGGAGAAGCAATATCATGTTTAATGTATTTGGACTTGGGAGGTTACTTTAGATAGAAAATGTAAGGGTTTGCAACTTGCAAGAATATGCAGGCAAAGTGGGCACTGTGCAAGTGAAACTAGGAGTAAAAATCGACGAATGAAGGAAGCTAAGATGCCTTACTGCCTTTAGCTTTACACCTCTGCTATTTATTGTTTTAGGTTTGTCGTTTGTTCTATCATTTCCTGCGGCCTTTATCATTTTATTCATTTTTTTTTACAAAAAGAAGAATTAACCTGGCAGAAGGGTTTGTGATAGAGCTTCAAATGACTCGAATGAATTTAGAGAAGAACTTTCGACGTAAGTCAATAGGACTGCCACGTGGCCAATAGACAGCAATTTCAAGCAATTAAATTAATTAACTTCTCACATGCTTGACCTGAAGTATGTGGACCGTGATAACGAATTGCATTAGGGAGGATGCTAGGGAGGTATTGGAGGGTATCGAAGGGATCCCCGGTGGCCGCAAAAGAGATTGGTGGTAGAGCGCTGAGGTTCAAGGTAAAGTGGAAGCCAAGAAGGCGGCATATTTGAAGCTTTTGGAGAGCGGGGACGAGGAGAAGAAGAGGACGAACAAGGAGAGGTATAAGGTGGCCAAGAAGGAAGCGGAATTAGTAGTAACTGCGGCTAAGAAAGTCGCGTTTGAACGCATGTATGAAGAACTTGGAGGCAAGGGATGGGATAAGAAGTTGTACAGGCTAGCCAAGGCGCGTGAGAGGAAAGCCCGTGATCTGGACCAAGTGAAGTTCATAAAGGACGAGGACGATAGAGTATTGTTGGACGAGGCACTTATTCGTCGGAGATGACAGACTTACTTTCATAAAACGAAGAGGGGATAGAAACATTGTGTTGGGTGACTTAGAACATTCCAAGAGTCGTCGGAACTTTGGGTATTGTAGGCGTATAAAAGTTGAGGAGATAGAGGGGCTATGAGTAAGATGAGCAGAAAAAAGCGACAGGACCAAACGAGATTCCGGTGGAATTTTGGAAAAGCACGGGTAGGGCGGGCTTGGAATGGCCAACTGGTTTATTGAATGTCATTAAACGAAGGATCATGATAAATTGATAATCTTGCAAACTATATTGGGACACTGAATAGTACTCCATTGACACTGTAGTGGAAGATAAAACATGAGACATGATCCCACCTTCGAAAATAGAGTTTCAAAATCATAAATCGGGGAATCTTAGTTTACATAAGCAAGTGGAGGCATGATATAGTTTTTTTTTTCTTAAATTAGTTGCAGAGCCTTTACTTGTATTTTATTTCTTCTTTTTTGCAAGTTGCAAGCCTATGCTTCTATTGATTTCTTCTTCTCTTTTGCCCTATATATATGAATTATTACATTTGATTGCTGTTTGTTCCTTTTAGCTTTTGTGGTAATAGTAGTATTTTTGGATATCCTTTTCACATTCTTATTACATCTTATAAGAATGAATAGCAAGGTGTCTAATTACATTATCCTATTTCTCTTGTTTCTGTTGGAAATTCTCTTTTCTCATAAAAGTTGTGCTTTTTTATTTCGATATTTCACTTAGCAACACTTGCAAGCGACAGGTAGATCTTTCTTTGGCCTATTAGACAAGTTCATTTTCTACTAACTACTTACTATGTTGGGACATATTTATAGGGTAACATGATATTTTGATATTACTGTTCTAACAAGTATATACTGATCGACATGGAACACACGTAACGTGTTCAACAACTAGTTCTTTGTAAATGTGCTAAAAAGAAGACGCAGAAAGTGTATTTTCAAATCTAGGCACTGATATAGCTGGAATATATAAGCTTTTAAAGGAAAATTCAAAGGATTAATACTCCCTTCATCATATTTTATGTGGTATTGCGTGGAGTTTAACAAAGAAAGCAAGAATTTTGAGATTTTGTGGTCTAAAAATATTATAAATATTTTATGGTTATAAATCATTTTATCTAAAGTTAAATTGTTTCTAAATATAAACAAGATGTTATATCCTAAAACCTCCTTAAACTATCATATTTTTGTCAGTTTTCAATTTAAATTATTCGGTGTCCATAAATCCCCCTGAACTATATTGAACTTCATATTAAAAAACCCTTGCTGCTGACCTGACATAACATATGTAAATACTTTCTTGGCAGCGCGTGTCGGGAAAAAGCCATAAAAATGGCTCACATGACAGAAAATAATGGCTATTTAGCCTAACCCTCTTTTAATTTTTTTTTAATAAATGTTCTCCTTATTTCAGTTATATCCATCTTTCTTCCTCATTTTTTCACCTTTCTTCTTTATTTTTTCACCTTTCTTCTTTATTTTTTAACATTTTTTTTTCAATTCTCCATATGAGTTTCCTCTAAAAAAAATTCTCCCTCTCTTGTTTCCTCTTAAATGATTTATTCTCTTTCTTGTTTTAGTCTTCCTTCATGTCTTACACGTAGTGTTGAAAGAATATCAATTTAAATCTTCTTATTTAACTCAACACCTTGTAGAATAAAGTTGAATTTCTTGAACGTTCTTTATGTAATCTGGAATTAGAGAATATAATTGTTGGCAAATTGATTTTTTGTTTGCGAAATTTTATTTTGTATAAAATTTTTTTTATGTAATATAAGATGATTTTTAAGAAATGCAACACTATATGCCTTTATTTATGTTTTTATTGTACTACAACGTGAATATAAATAAGGACTTATTCAATTGGAGTTTAACATAAAGCACAATCATAATTAAACCTAAAATTAACACAGTACATTAAATATTATTTTTGGCCAAAACTCCTCAAATTAATCAATCATCCGAGAGTAATACGTTGTGAGTAAATATATATAAAATAATTGTACAAACTATAAGTTAATATAGTTAGACAGGTGCACCTTTAAAAGTTCAACATGGGGTTTTAATATATAGGAAAATATAGTTAAGGGGGTTTTGGCGACAACAATAGTTTAAGTAGGTAATTGACAAAAAAGTAATAGTTTAGGCGGGTCTTAGGCTGAGTTAAATAGCCACGTGTAGTGCTACATGACACGTATTTTTAGATAATTAGGAGCGTGTACTAGACGCACCTCCAAAAATGCGATGGGGAATTTTTAATATGAAGTACAATATAGTTCTAAGGGGTTTTGAGGATCCTTTTAGGGGGATTTTAGGGTGGTAACCCTTCTTTTTTAGAAAAAATAGAAAGGGAAGTATGCCGTAGTGGGACTAAACAGTGCAACAAGTTTCAAATGGGGTTGAACTTTGAAGAGAATGATGGCTAAGTTGGAGAAGTCGAACCTTTTATGGAGGAGAATGGCTGGACCAGCTCCCTGCTCTAAAACATGACGTGCTTCTTCGACGACAGCTTGCACTTCCTCCGCCCAAATATTTAGCCTTGCATCCAGCTCCATCATTGTCCGAATATCTTTTAGCAAAGCATCCATTAGCTGCAACTCTCTTTCAACTGAATGCCGTAGGTCTGAAGTGTTGCCAATGGTAGAAAGAATACTTCTACAGATGATCAAATACAGCAAAATGGGAGTGCTGCATGGGATAAAACAAAACCAGCACTCACTAAAGAAGGTGCGCTCTAATTCAGAAAGACTATATCTAGAGCAACTAATAATTAAGCTTCTCCATGTTAAACAAAACAGCGACCACCACTGGGGTCGCCTTGGATTTGATTCTCTCAAAGTGTGCTCTTCATCATCTCCTGGAAGTATGTCCGGGGGTGGTGGTTGCGGGATAACAGTACTAGCTGCTTGTTGCATGATGCTGCTGCTGATATCGTATGCTATTTTCCTGTTCGACATGTAATAAATCTGTTTTTGTATTTTCTTAACTCTATTTTCAAACCTTATCCAACTCAGTGGATTGAATAAATTACCCCTTTCTTCTATGATTCCTTGAGCAAAAACAGCCTTAGCCTCAAGATCAGGATAGATTTCTTCCATTTGCCGGAACCAAACCTTATGTCTCTCGTCTGAATCTTCTCTAATTTGGGCATGTTCAATGAAATACTTCATTAGCTCCATCTCCACTCTAAGCCACTCTGTTATATCTTTGGTTGAGGAAACTGCAGACACTGAGGTATAAATATCCGGACTTATTAGTTTGGGGACAAACACCCTCCTCCATGTCTCCCTTCCTCTGAATTCACCAATTTCATATGTATGGTATCTTCTGCATATTTCAGAGATTTGCTTCCTGATCTTCAGAATTTTCTGATCTAGCCGAGATAGAGGTACGTTGTATAATGGCGCAATAAGAGATCTAAAACCATTGCCCTGTTTCACGCCCCGGGATGCAAAGGTTTCATAAACCAACTGAAAAACACCTTCTATCTGGTGCACCCAAACTTGGTATAACTGTTGATCTTCTAATCCTTCCACTTCATCTAGAAGATCCTGCAAAGGAGTTAGTTCATCTCTCACGGACTTAATCACCTTAAGATCTCTTGCATCAAGAAGCCATTTTTGACTCAATACAGTATTGAGCTGCTCCATCGCAGAAGCGACAGTGTTGTTGGATCTGCACCCTCTTTCAGTAGCCAGCGTTTCCGTTACGACCGTGATTTGTCCATCCTGATCCTTATCAGCACTATTTCTGATAATAATCTTCTTCCCCTTCTCAGAAACACTATGGATCTGAGTCATGAGCTCTTTTAGCTCTATGGCCAGTCCGCGTCGCTTAACAAAATTGTACTTTCTTCTCAAGTCTATTGTTCCTTGTTTTTGAAATCTCTTTGTGTAAGTTGCGATTAGATCCTCAGCTCTCCGAGCCACTTCTTCAGTCTCCTTTTCCCACTCTATAGCACAAGGGTCCTGTTCGTCCCTGGCCCGAACAGATTCCAGAACAGTTTCCATTAGTCTGAGTTCCCTTTCTATCCATTCCACCTCCTCCTCTATTCCTGTAATTAGTTCTGATTCTTTAACAACCAGGTCTGCCAATATCATCACAAGAGAAGATGCCATGTTTCTTCTTTTAGTTGATTAAAGCTAAACCACACAGAGTAATTGAGCTACTTGGGTCGTCTCTCCTGGGGCTACATATGAGCTGCAAAGTACCGCCGTAATATTTACATTGCGCATTGTGAGTCTTGGCAATTTTTAAGCTCACCAAATAATAAAATTTTGGGAAATGGAAGGGGATTGCGTCCTTAAAACATTTTAGACATGAGAGAAAAAGAAAATCTCTTCTCCCACTTTAGTTAATGTGTGAAGAGAGAGAATTATGTTCTCTTTTCTTAGTTAATGAGTACGGCGGAGAATCTACTTCTTAAATAGAAGGGTAGAGGAATTCGAAGAGAAGGAGAAGAGAACCAGCCTCCACAACTGCTAGTTATCACACTTTGTCAACGCGGGACAATTGATAGAGATGCCAGGAAAATACCAGGATGTTGGTCTTCATTTACCCAAAAGCCTACCCATTACAATCCAATTAGTCAACTGTAAACTCACTTATGATCAGACACACCAACCGCAATTAAACTAATAATTAGACGTTATATATTTTATTCACAACTTGAATCAAGTCGCTATCCTTATTATAACCAATCAACATGAAGTGTAAATTACCTTAAATCAACTCATTGAAACAAGAAAACTTTGATTCTAAATGTGCGATCCATTACAACATTTGAAAACAAACCGTCAATTTAATTCAATCTGAAAAACCTAACCTTGCTCTATAATATAAAATCAATTAGATTTATTTGAACTAACAAAATCTTGAACGACTCAACCGGTCGTTTTGAGCATTTGCGTTCAGTTCAGCGGTTTGAAACCTTGAGTAGCTTATTATGATGTATTATGACTTGTGTGAATCGTCGATTTTGATTTTCAGGTGATTCGGGATTGATTTGGAAGAATGATTCTCAACTAGAAAGCTTTAAGTTGGAAGAGTTGATCAAGTTTGACTTTTGTGTATTTGTGTATTTGATCCCAGATCGGAGTTTTGATAATTTTATTAGGTCCGGATGGTGATTTTGGACTTTGCCGTATGCCCGGATTTGCATTTAGATGTTTCTTGAAGGTTTTGGTGTTAATTGGCGAAAGTTGGCAATTTGAATTTTTGGAAAATTCGAAGGTTTGATCAGGATTTGACTTTGATGATATCGTGTTCGGATTATGATTTCAGGAATTAAAACAGCTTCGTTATGTCATTTGGGACTTGTGTACAAAGTTTGAGGTCATTGCGGGTTGATTTGATATAGTTCGGCACGAGTTTTAGTAGTTGAAAGTTCAAAAGTTCATTAAGTTTGATTTGAGGTGCGATTCGTGGTTTTGATGTTGTTATGCGTGATTTGAGGCCTCGAGTAGGTCCGTGTTATGTTTTGGGACTTGTTGGCATGTTTGGATGGGGTCCTGAAGGGGCTCGAGGTGTCTTTGGGACGAATTTCAGATTAATTTGGTCATGTTGGCAGTTCTGGTGCTGGTTCTTCGCACCTGCGTATATTTGGCCGCAGGTGCGGACGCGTTTATGCGATGAAATGGTCGCTTCTGCGAAGAGGAGGTGCTTTGGTGAGTTCCGCTTCTGCGGAGGGTTAAGTGCAAATGCGTAAGGGCTTCTGCGAGGTTTGGATCGCTTCTGCGGAGGGTTGTGCATGCGCTTATGCAGAGTCGTAGGTGCGGAAAATATTTGCGCAGGTGCGGTCTAGGTCCTTTAAGATGTAGTCGCAGATGCGGCATTTGTGATCGCAAATGCGAGGCCGCAAGTGCAGTATTTTGTCCGCAAATGCGAAAGTACTGGGCAGAAGCATAAATATCGAGGTTTTTGTTCATTTTAACGCATTTTGAGTTGGAGAGCTCGGATTGAGTGATTGTAAAAGTAATTTTCACCACATAAATTGGGGTAAGTATTTTCTACTCGGTTTTGACTATATTTCATTAATCTATCTTTGATTTTGGCATTTGGATTATGAATTTTAAAGATAAATTGTGGGGTTTTTGTGTAAACTTTCTTAAAGTGATTGTTTGAATTTTGAACATCGATTCGGAGTCGAATCTGAGTGAAATTAGTATGGTTGGACTCGTAATTGAATGAGTTATTGGATTTTGTGAATTTTGTCGGGTTCCAAGTTGCGGGCTCGATTTTAACCTTTTGGTTGACTTTGAGTTTTTTTATTAAAGATTAGACCTTTATCGATTGGGTTTATCTCCTATGGCATTATTTAATATTTTTGAGTTACTTTGGCTAGTTTCGAGCCTTTCGGAGGTTGATACGCGCGAGATGGTATTTTTATAGTATTGTTTGGCTTGCTCAATATTGGATTTGGCTTGTTCGAGATAAGTAACATATCTAAAATTAGATTTGAGGTTATTTAACCCTCGGAACTATGTTATAAGAGATGTATTGGGGTGACACATGTGCTAGGTGACGGGCGCGGGTACGTGCATCGAAGTATTCATGATACGGGTAGTTCTTACGCTATTATATTCCTTGTGTTACTATCATGTTTGCTCCATTTATTTGACTACGTGGGATATTATTCATTCTAAAAATCATGCCTAGGCTACCTGTTCAATTGTTTGAGACATGATAGGGCTATTTTCGCCATATTGAGCTATTTGCCTTAGCCGTAGTCATACTGTACAGTCATGATAGTTACATCCGCATGTTATATCTCTAAAGACCACCATGTCTTTCCCAACTCTGAGCATGAGCTGCCTTGCTTGAATTTCTAGAATTGCTCTGCCAGTAGCCAAGAAGGGTCTCCCTAGAATCAGAGAGACCTCCCTATTATCTTATATGTTCATCACAATGAAAACAAATTTGCCCTCCCAAAATAGCACATCCTCCACTATTCCTTCAAGTATGATTATGGTCTGATCCGCCAGTTGCAAGGACACAAGTATCGACCTGATTTCTCTAATCTATCTCTCTAATTTCCTGAAAATAGATAGAGGAATAAGATTAATAGAAGCACCTGAATCACACAAAGATTTTCCAAACTTAGTACTTCCTAAAGAGCAAGGTATAGTAAAACTCCCTCGATTTTAACACTTTTGAGAGAGCTTGTTTTGCAGAATGGCACTAGAATGCTTTGTGAGCTTGATAACCGATGTCTCTTCCACTTTCCGCCTTTTGGACAATATATCCTTAAAACATTTAGCATAAGCTGGCATCTGTGAAAGCATTTATGTGAAAGGCATATTCACATGCACCCGCTTGAGCACTTCTTGAAAGTGCCTGAATTGTTTGTCCAACTTCTCTCTTCTCTGCTTCTCTGGGAAAGGTAGAGCATGCATATATTTACTTTCTTCAATCTCCTCATTTATTGCATTATCATCTTTCTTCTTCTTTTGAGCTCTAGTCTTCCCCTTTTTCACCAGACCATCATCTACCATCCCTGCACCTTCTTGAATGTTGTCATTTTTCTGCTCCTCCACAATCTCCACCTGTCTTTCAATCAGCTCATCCTTTTGTTTGTCCTTGGGATCCTCCAATACATGCCCACTCCTCAAAGACACTGCATTTATTGTATTTTTTGGATTTCTTTCAGTATCAACAAGGAGAGTTAATGGAACCCTCTCAGACAATATATTAGCTAGTTGCCTCACCTGTCTTTCCAATTTCGAATGGTCGTGCCATGTTCTTTGATAGTTGCGCCATGGGTTTCAAGCCTCTTATTTGTCTTAATAATAAAGGCATTCATCAGATCTTCCATACTAGACTGATTAGGCTGTGGAGGATGATATTTCTACCTCTGTTGATTTTGAAAACCTGGAGCTCCCTGTCCCTAGGGTCTGGATTTGCAGCAGTGTTGCCATCGTTTGCACTACCACCTGGTGAACTCCAAGAAAGACCCATGTGCATGATCCACATGGAGTTAAAAATATTTACTACTTAAGCTAAAGCTTGACACTCATGTGTAGAGTGTCTCATTCCTCAAAAGTCACATGTTGCTTGCGGGTCACTCTATACCTTGTCCAATGTTAACTTTCTTATTTTTTTAGCCATGGTGTCTAGCTGGGCTTGCACTGATATGTTCGAGTCTACCTCCTGAACCCCAGCTAATTTTCTTCTATCATTACTCTCAGCAGACCATTGGTTAGCATCTTCAGAGAGCTCATCAAGAATTATAACAATCTCCTGAGGAGTCTTTTTCATTAAAGAACCTCTAACTGCAGTACTCAGAGTTCGTCGTGAGGAAGGTGTCAGTCTATCCCAAAAGTCCTGGAGTTCCATCCACAATTCAATCCCATTATGGTGACAGTTTCTCATTATCTCCTTGAATCTTTCCCAAGCCTCAAAAATTGTTTCAGTGTCCTTCTGGCAGAAGTTGTGAATTTCCCTTCTGAAATTCATTATTTTTGCAGCTGAGAAATATTTGTCAAGGAACTCTTTAGTCATATCTTCCCATGTCCTGTTCGAACCAATTGGTAAACTTTGAAGCCAATGTTTTACGTCATCCTTCAGTAAAAAAGGAATTCCCTTAAGTAAACTGCATCTTTTGACACTCCGTTGTTCTGGAAGGTGTTCATGATTTCCTCAAAATCCATCAAGTGAGTGTTAGGATCTTCATTCACCTTACCTCTGAAAACACAGTTGTTCTGGATAGTTTGAAGCAAACCTTGCTTCAACTCAAAATTATTTGCTGCTACGGGTGGAGGTCTGACACTGGACAGTCCCCTATTGTAGATTGGTATGGCATAATCACCCAATGCTCTACTAGGACTGGGTCCCATATTTTCGAATTGATCTTCAACCAAGGGTCGATTTAGATTGAATCTTCGACCCCCACCATCTTCAATAGTCTCATCAGCAACTCTACGGGCTACCTCAACTTCTATCCGTGTAGCTTCTTGTTGTTTTGCCTCTCTTGCAACTAAGTCTACTCTGTCGTCACCGTTATTAGCCATATGTTCTTGGGTTGAAGGTTGCCCCAAGAACTTTTCGGTGAGTTCTTTCTCTTTCCTCAACTGTTGCAGAATATTTTCTACCTCTGGATTGTATGGAATCAATTCTTTTGAATAAGATCGAGTCATACACCAGAGAATTCAACATTTTGCTTGCACACGGAAGAGAAAGCCTGTGAAGAATAAAATAAAATAGTGTAACTACCCAGTAGATCATTTTGAGTATTTTAGTCCTGATCCCCTATTTATAGCCTCCTCTAAGTTATATTGTGGTTATGTGACTTGTTGGGGGTGTTTGGTTTTGGTCTCGGGTGAGTTTCAGAGTGAAATGGGACACATAGTCCCTAAGTTAGAGGCTTAAGTTGTTAGAGTTGACCGTAGTTTGACTTTTGAGTAGCAAATCTAGAATGGCGTTTTGACACTCTCAATAGCTCCGTATGGTAATTTTTGACTTTAGAGCATGTCCGGATGTTGATTTGGAGGTCCGTAGGTTGTTTCGACGTGAATTGACGAAAGTTATAAAATTTAAGGATTGGA